ATCACTACGATCGCCCTTTTAAAATGGGTATTACATTTGCATATTTCCATATCGTGGGAAAGTATCCATGTGACAAAGAAAGGTTAAAAACAAAACTAATTTTATCTGCTATCAATGGCGTAATTAATTTGAGAAAACGATTATCAACATTATCGTATCCATGTGACTTGTAAGTATCAAGTTCTTTCACATGGAGTTGAACTTCTTCAGGAGTGGTGGTAACGTGGAGTAAACGACCAGTGGTAAAATATTGAAATTCCGGCAGCGAAGCATTTGTTTCGTCTATGGAAGATTGAAAGACAAAGTATTCATTAAAAAGTAAAGCTTTCGCTGAGGAATCAACAACAAACGTACTACCTTCCTTTAAAGGAGGAATAGTGGTAGTTGCTTTGGGTCTGTAAAAGTGTTTCACCACGTGCCACCACTTTTTACCTGATAAAGAAGGATCACTTAGAGATTCTGACAGACGACTAAAATATTCAGACTTACGGGATGAGATAGCATTCGAAAGCTTGTTGCGGATTTTACGATAAGCGGCCCAATTTACCTGAGAATTAGATAACTTGGCCAATTTGTGAAATTTGTCGCGGGACCGCATTAGCTTACGAATATCATTTGTCATCCAGGGTTTGTCTTTTGGTCTGACCACTATGTTTTTACTTCGGACACAAATGTTTTTAGCCTTAATGATGAGTTGACTTAATTTGTTCGCAGCGTCATCCACAGTGGGAAGTAAGAAAATGCTGTTCCATTCCGAATCATTACAAAATTAATAATTAATACTAGAAAAATCCCACACAGTACGTACAAAAGGTTTAGATATGTGACGAGTAAACGACAAGGAACAAATAGTGGGGCAGTGGTGGCATCGGGAGAGTGGTGAACAGACAGACACAGAATCAACGTAGTTAAAGGCGTCGGTAAATATGAGGTCGATAAGGGAGGAGTTTCGTGAAAGGTCGCAGGTGGGCTCGTTAACAATTTGGATAAGATTTAAAAGCTGAGTAATTGTCTTCGTCAGAAGGACTATGAAATTGTCTCGCCGGAGTGTGGGGAACTGCGGATTTTGCGATATAACTCTGGAAGGCATGATTCGACGTCCATGATTTTTTGCAGGCTTATTACCGCTGTTGAGGCCGAAGTCAAGTACAGGTTTCGGCTTCGTGGGGGGTCCGTGCGTCACGTTAGTACACCTTTTGTGTTTGTAGCTTGTTAGCAAGATAACTCAAGTATTTGTAAAATGTTGATCATAATTCTTGGTGTGGTGCTTACTATTGTCGGGACCAAGGTTAAGTTCGTTACTGAGCTTCGTGGGGTGTTTCGTTGTGACTACAGGGGGCATTTTGTTAATTTTTCTTGTGAGCAGGATAACTTTTGTATGTGTGGATGGAAGTTAATGAAATTTGATAGGCATGTTACTGTGGTGGTCTCCAAGATTGAGTTCAAAGATGAGAGTCGTGGAGGTCGTTATGTCCCCGTAATAGGACCTTTTGTGTTTAGAAATCCCCCACCTACATCTGCTTGGAGACAGCCGACAGCTGGATTTAGCCGGGGAACCCCATAATGGGATGGGATCAAATGACGTTACATTGAGGGATTGTACTATAACTTCAGCAGGGGGAGGATAGGTTGGACATATGTCAGGTTATTTTCTACGGCCACACCAAGTAATTGCTATGGATGACGTCCACTGGAGACCTTAAATCTAATTACCTTAAATTTAAGGCAAGCGCGCAGTAAAACACGAAGGGCCGAAAAATGAGATGCCTAGATTTGGAATATACTGTAGAAGTACAAATGTTAGGACACAAAGAACACAAGTCTTCTATTTGTCATAAAGACAAATTAACAAAACAGCAGCCAGTAGTCACCATGTTCTGATTCTTTCCTTTATAACATCTTCTCTTATTATATTTTGCGGCGCTGTCGTGACACTTTCAACACAGTAAGAATTTCTTGAACGTTTTTTTTCCAGTAACAGTCCAAACTCAAATAACGTAGGGGGGGGGGGGCTAACACGGGTGACGACGCATCTGTATAATCTGCGGCAAACCGTTTCAGGGTGTTCTGTACCATAAAAATAGTACAGAGATTCTTTTGTTCTTTAGACCAAATTGATTATTAAAAAGAGTGAAGAATACGCATGATAATTTCTCTAGAACGATGTACCTCTGACGAAGACATGAGATCTCCGACCTCTAGTTCGAATATGGAATCCCAATTGCATGGATAGTTCCAGTGTCTTTCTTCGAAATCAAGTAATCAGAGGAGTTTTGACGTTAGTATCCGCGCGTCGTTGATGAGATGTTCTTCCTTTTCCATTGCAGGTATGTTTTTCCAGTGGGTGTTCTGTTCTGCAGTCTGGTGTGTTGGTCTGGTGGTGAACATTATTCAGGGTTTCCCTAAGTTCTACGCCATCTCCATGGTTGGAGGGGCTCTTTGGTGCACAGGTACATGTGCATCAACATATAAACCAACGCATTATCCTCAGTTAATTGCCTTTTTTACTAATATGCTGCAGAAATACATATTTTCTTTTTTCAAAACGAATATTGTACCAGTGACTAACAGGCGCTATTCGTGACTAGGTAACGCTGTGGTCGTGCCCATCCTGAAGACAATAGGACTGGGGATGGGCATGTTGTTCTGGGCGTCTACTAACCTGCTGACGGGCTGGTTCAGCGGAAGGTTCGGCTGGTTCGGCATGCGGCCGGACAGGCTGACCAGGCCTGCTCTGGACTACGCCGGGGTGGCCCTGGGCATTGTCAGGTAAGAACTAGAAAGGCAACAGTCGCAAAGCAAACACATCCTATCATGTTTACCTTCACATGGTCTAGCCTAACAAACTATTGCTTTATTTATTCTCGTAGACATCCATAATATATGGTGACCAGGCCCTCCAACTCTGCCCTGATGAGAGAAATAGTTATTATTTTTATCTGTCGTTTTAGGACGATAATATTATCCTTTGTGAAAAGTGACGTCATGGACAAACCTGAAACTGATCACGAGCCACTGCTGGAAGAGGACAGAATGCATGTAATTGCTTTATTATCATCATATGCATATTTGTCCAACGAAAGCAGAAATGACTAATACACCTGTACAAGTAAAGAAACAAAAGCAGATCAAAAGAAACTAGAAATTCCTGGTATGTCTTAGTACAAGTAACTTTCTTTGCTATTCTTTGTCATTCGCTATTCATAACAAGTAATATTCTTTGCCAATGTCATTTCTTGACATGTATAATCTTACCATGCTGTAGTGAATGTTATTGATAACCATTTGCCGACTTACATATCTGACGTAACATGTATAAACCTGCTGTGACCAGGCAGCCGTCAACAGTACCAGTGAGAGAGTTCCTTCGGCAGAACCTGAGGACCACTCCTGGGTGGATCAACTTTCTCCTGTGAAAAAAAGAATCACGTATGTCTCCTTTCCATCATGGTGAATTCTGTTTGAAATGAACTAGTTTAGTTGAGTTTTAGATATCGCACATCCGGGCCTGTCCCTACTGATATTGGACCATACGTTGATCTGTGTTTTTCTTATCGTTTGCCACAGGGGGATTACATTGGCGATGTTTTCTGGCTGTATGTACGGTCTTAATTTTGCACCGGTAATTTACGCACAACAACACTACGAGGGAGCTACAGACAACGGTAACGTTTAGCATTTGTGATTTCAACATCAGTAAATGTTACCTTCTCATCGACGTTCTTTCCTCGTATCATGACTACCGGTGTTTATAGGAATACATATATTCTACATCTTAAATGACTAATGTAATAAATCAATGACCTTGAGGCACATTTATTTTTGTGACGTCTTGCTTTAGTCAGCCTTGAGGCACATTTATTTTTGTGACGTCTTGCTTTAGTCAGCCATATCTTCTGTGTTTTATTTCAGGTCTAGATTATGTCTTTGCTCACTTCAGTGGTATCTACGCGACATCTACACTATACTTCATACTGTACAGCATGTACATGAGGAACAGACCTGCAGTGTTCCCCAGAGCCATACTACCGGCTCTACTGTCGGGCACCATGAGGGCCATAGCACAGGCTGCGTGGTTCGTGGCCAATCAGAGGCTACAGGAGAGCGTCAGTTTTCCCATCATCACAACGGTAACAAGTTTTGATATTCAGATAAACAAATTATATGCTGAGTCAGACAGGGATTTGATTTGTGCTGACATAACTCTTCGTGCTCCTGATGGGCAAAGACCACGTCTTATGCGGCTCTTATAAACCTCTCTCTGGTATATGACATACATCATATCTGTGCCGTAGAATATGAGCATCGTTACAAAGTATTTTCGACTGGATATTTACAAATCTTAGAAAGTAGTAAAAACAACTGCGCACATCTTTCTGTTTGCAGGGCCCAAGCCTTGTTGGGACATTGTGGAGTGTTTTCTACTTTCGAGAAATCAAAGTAGGTTCATACACGTTATATATGAGAGTCGATGAGACACATGAAATCTATTTGCATTCTTATCGATACACTTTTTTAATTCTCTCATTAAAATGGGCACATCCACAGGACAGTGCCAGTACCAGTCCCTTAATACCTACGTGTTAAGTATTATCGCTCTAAATCTGATTGGTAGCTGTAAACGACGTTTATCTATGACTTCTACTCGTGTTCTACAGGGCGTCAGAAACGCAGTAATCCTGACAGCGGTGTTCGCTGTGACTATTACCGGGGCTCTGCTCACAAGCTTCTCATTTTGATGCGGCGACGAAGAATCAGTGGATCAAAACTACCTAGGTCTTCACCAAGAAAAGACAAAACTAAATTCATTAATCAGTTTACTGAACCAACCTTAATAAAGATTCTTTCAGAGCAAAGTTTGGGTTTGTTTGTTTGTTTTATTAACATATAGTCAAAGTAATAAAATGAACATAAGCATAAAAAATATATGCTGGTGGAAGATAAAAAGCCATTATGGCCTGTCCGGAATCTTCCCCCGACAACATTAATTTTTGACAAGTGATAATAATAGTAATAAATCAAACAGTGATAATGATAGATAGCAACAAATAAATATCTTTATCTTAGTTATTATGTAAGGTGGACGCATGCCGTATCAAACATTTATTTGTGTACCCAGGATTGGGCCAATAAGAACGTTGTAAAGGTGAGTACGGCAAGTAACCAATCAGCGTAACCTTTATTGTCACATTGTACACAAAGGACGGAGGTCGGTGCAATCTGTGCCCTTTGATGGGGATCAAACTTTCCCCCACGTCGAAAGATGGCCGGGCAAGCGGAGTGGCATCGAATTTTAGCTCGTTCTGTTTACATCGGGCTGGTTCTTTATGCCTTCGTAGCTGCTTGTGACTGTGGACAAGGTGAGTTTGTCTGTCATACATGTAAGTTAACACGTCATGGCAAGACCGGTAGAGGGACCACAAAATAGTCTGTAATAGTATGTACAAAGTTGGACAGTTGCACTTTGGCCGCTCACATGATAAGTCAACAACTGGTGATTCCAACAGGTGGGAGGGAGGGGGGCAAACGGTGCGAGCAAATTTATCAAGAAAAGTCCCGGAGACTTTGATAAGACGAAATACTGTGCGAAAAATAACCGATTTTAATAAACATGTATAAGCGTATCGTTGCTGTTCATTTTTCTCTGTTGATATACACAATGGATGTCGTAGACATCACTATAAACCACACACTACAGGCGACGTCAAACTCCCATGACCTCTCAAGATCTCGTCTTACTTATAACTATATTCAAGGCTTGGACAATAGTTAAACAAGACTGCTAGCCCTGTTTTCAAATTGTTTTTTATTACATGCACTGTTCCTGACCCTTTAGTCCAAAATGATACACTGACGACGCCGCATCAGGACAACGCTACAACAGCCATCCCGGCAACTATAACGCCGAGTAACACCACCAAAGATGAGACGTACCTGGGGTTCATAGCGGCAGCCGTGTCTGTTGCGTTCTTTGGAAGCAACCTGGTTCCAATCAAGAAAGTGGACACGGGCGATGGTAAGAAATGCTCATTATTCTTCGAGTGAGGATTTACAATAATACCACGCGACAATACCACTTAAGTGTTGATATCTGACCTAGATACAGCATACTCATTTGCTTAGCCTTTACATGGCATCTGATGATTCTAAGCGTAATGATGGTCTACTGATACTGAAGATCTACTGTTACAGGTATGTTTTTCCAGTGGGTGTTCTGCTCGGCAGTCTGGTGTGTAGGTTTGGTGGTGAACGTTATTCAGGGTTACCCCACGTTTTACCCCATCGCCATGTTGGGAGGATTTCTGTGGTGTACAGGTATCATATAATCACTTTGTTTTGTATCATTCATCTTAAGTGCTTTTAAATGGTCCTTTTTTCAGCCCTTAACCAAGGCATGACATGCTAAAGTAAATGGATGAATAAAACATTGCTTCTGAGGCCGTTGCGTTTAAGTGACAATGTTTCCGGATGTCAGTTCTAAAGTTTTACTACAACCACGATTTCACTATGTGTCCTGCTGCAGTATTACGTAAAGTTTAGGCTTTATAACTTGCATGAGTGTCGTTAGTACGCATCATTTGAGTGCTTCCTTGTCTACATCTCATTTCATTTTGAACATTGAACTGTAGGTAACGTGACAGTGGTACCGATCCTGAAGTGCATAGGTCTGGGCATGGGCATCCTCATCTGGGGGTCCTTCAACCTGATGATGGGCTGGTTCAGCGGGCGGTTCGGCTGGTTCGGACTCAACCCGCAGGACAAGTTTACCCGGCCGGAGCTGGACTACGTTGGGTTCGGGTTAGCCGTTCTCAGGTAAAAACTGTGAAGCAAGAAACAACTACTCTCCAAGCAGATGTTGCCAGTGGGGAAGATTATAAGTTTTCTATCATATGCCCCGTCGCTACTTCGTCGTGGAGAGTAGCGACAGAAGACGGGACATATGATGATAGAAAGGTTACAATCTTCCCCAGCAACATCTGATTTGAGAGTAACACCAGACATAATTCAGTCAAGTTTATATAATGGCAACAACATAGGGAGAAGGATGCAGTATTATACTATCATCAGAGAGGAAAGGCAAAAAATCTGTAGTGGTGACGTCCAAAGAAAAGGACAACGCGGTTATCTTTTCTAGTTTATCCCTGACGTCCAACTTCATTTTCACAGTGTCGTCATGTTTATGTTCGTGAAGAGCGAGGGGACGAGAACACCCTCTCCTGAAGAACAGCGTCTTTTGGTCAGCAAGGTGAATATGTTCTTACACATTATTGATTTTCTTTTCTGTACCCTCCTATCATATACATGTCATCTGCTTGGCAATCGGCATCTTTGAGAGAGTATGCGAAGGTCAAACAACCTCCTTGCTTGGAGCAAGGGGATACATCCATGGCAAACTTTATGCATTATTATTGTTATTTTGACAGACATAAATGTTTTTATTTGTTTAGGAAACGCTGAACAGTCGATACGGCACCAGTTCCGCGGCAGGAGCGGAGGAGTCCGACGAGTCCTGGGTGGACAAACTGTCTCCCAATCAGAAGCGGCTCGCGTGAGTTCACAACTTCAGATTTTCTCCACCAGTTAAAATATACCGAACTATTTAACTACAACATGGAATCAACTAGATACCCATGGCCGAGAACTGTTTCTCTTGTTGTGAATGTATCATAAACCTTAAAGTACCTCAAAGTTAAGTATCAGAAAACTCAAATGCACTTCTCATGTGATAAGTGTTGACTAGTTCTCTCGGTAATTTTAGTGACGCTGAAGTAGAGTGATGGATGTCACTCAAAACGTCCGGAAGTAATCTGCGTCATTTATCCAGTAGCAGAGTTTGCTTTGTATTTGAACTAGTTTTGACGTTTTTCTGCTCCAGTGGCATACTGTTGTCAGCATGTGCAGGCTGTGCGTACGGGACCAGCTTTGCGCCAGTGATCTACCCACAGCAACATTACAAGGGAGCCTCACAGAATGGTATGTGACACAGTAGCAAGTCAAAACAATACTTCAGACTGTTGAAATGAGTATTACAGTAAAAAAAATGCGATGTCGGTTTTCAAAGAATACTAACACACACACTCAAATTGTACATTTTCTTCACATTTTTTCTGCAGGACTGGACTATGTTTTCGCTCACTTCTCTGGCGTCTACGCTACAGCTACTCTGTATTTCATCCTGTACGCCATCTACATGAAGAACAGACCTAAAGTGTTCCCCAGGGCCATTCTCCCTACACTGCTAAGTGGACTTATGTGGGGCATTGCAGAGTCAGGCTGGTTTGTGGCCAATCAGAAGCTTCAAGAGAGTGTCAGCTTCCCAATAATTTCAACAGTATGTTGTCTGTTACACCTACTCTTCACATTACAAAATGTTTTACATGATGCCATACAGATTACCAAAAACAGTCTCCAGAATATTTTGCATTGTGTAGAATTGAATTATTTCCACACATTCACAATAATGTTAATCATATTATATATACAGTCGTTTTCACTGAACTGCTTCATATTGCAAAAGTTCATGATCGGCTGCTGTCACAATTATCAAAGCTTGTTTTTGTTGTTGACTTGTTTTTCAGGGTCCAGGATTGATTGCCGCACTTTGGGGTGTTTTCTATTTCAAAGAAATCAAGGTACATGTACGAAACACATCCTTAATAAAATTACATCATTTACACTACTGCCGTTACCTTACAAAATCATTTGTTTAACTGAACTTTCTTAAGGCCACCTTTGTGATATGTATATATTGTCTGGTGTTGCAGGGAGCCAGGAATCTATTAATACTGGCCCTGGCATTTGCAGTCACCGTAGCTGGATCTCTGCTGACGGCTTTCTCCTATTAAAAAAGTCTGCAGAGTGGAAACCAATGCTGCCACTGTGTTATCAGGTCAATTCTACATTTTAAGATGTGTAACATTCATATCTAATAGTATTCGTATACTTGAGTTTTGTTTTCTACATGAATATGGATTAAAAACATAGAATAGCTATAGACAATCTTTGTCAGAGATGATCTAAAAAAATGAAGTAAACAGGTACATTGTTACTATAGATGTTCACTTCTTGGAGGGTTCATGTTATATACATAGTAGTCATGATCAATAGAAAAATTCTTACTGGAACAGATCTTGATAAAAAGACTTCACAATGTTTTATCCTCCTCTTACTGATTGACTTCTGTTGTATATACAGTTCTGTGTAAAATACCTGATCATAAAATAGTGTGACTTCTGAATCTTTCTGCTTGCTTGCATTTATATACAAATAAGAAACAAATTATTAACATTAATATCAATATCACTAGAACAAAGTACATTTGTACTGTTCCCAACTATCCATTGACGATGACCCTCAGTGCTCAGTCTAAGCCTCTAAAATGTTGAAGTCCTTTAGCACCTGTACTGTGGAGGCAAAAACCTCTTCTTTGGAGCCACTTGCATCAATGACCTTAAGGCCTGGGCTCTCCATCCTCAGATAGGCCTCAACCAACCTTGGAGAGAGGAGAATTGGAACACAAGCTTTACACATGTAGACCAAAACAGAGCCAACATTTCCAACCATTAGTGCTGAGAAACAGTCATGATTTGATACAAGAAGACAGTGTCCCTTCTGCATCTTTTTTTTTTTGGTATACAGTACTTCTCATAATGTTGTACATGGAGACAAAGGGCTTGAAGGTATGGTTACTCTTGAGCCACTGTTGGCTTATACATGTATTATCCAAAAAGGAGTTTTAGTACATTGTATGCTATTAGTACCTACCTCTTCCTAAACAGGACACTCCTCTCCAGTCTTATCTCCTCCTCAGTTTTCCCCACCCCCCTGCCCGCTAGTCTGGCCCCCCGGCTTGCCTCGTTCACAGTCAGTAGCAGGGCCAGGTGTGGCTTGAGCAGGTCCGAGGGCCAGCTGTACACACTGTGTCCTCTGGGGGGCAGCTGGGACTCATCCCCACAACCTACCTCTGTGGCGATGGAGTAGGCTGTCGTGCTGTGCCAAAACCTGGGGAAGTCAGTAGCATAGTACCTTCTTAACACTTCATGGAATCAGTGGATGCCATATTTGATTAAGGAATTATGATACTATATGATACATCTATGTCTACACTGTAAACATGCATAATTCTTACCCAACAAGCATAAATGTAACATGACATGTACAGTGAGTTAGTGTTACTGACAAGCATGTGGATTTGTGCACTTACTCTCAAAAAGACAATGGTAAAAATAAACTAAAATACTATAAAATTTGACTATCATCAATGAGAAAATGGTTAGGCTTTCTGTGCACTCATGTGGGTGCACATGTAGCTAAAAACTACATTTTCTACTATCTGCTACATTGCAACTAACATTCAGTGCCCCTTAAGTGTATGCCATACCTGTCTATGACTACAGGATGTGTCTGTGCCTCCTGTGTGACCTGCATGGCCAGTATGTAGTTCCCCAGTGTGTAGTACGCTCTCCGGATCAGCTCAGGCTGGGAGTCAAACACCTCCCGCAGGTGACGGATGGGGGGAGGAGGGGACTGCAGCACTGGGGCACTCAGCATCTCTCCCAGCCTCCCTGTCAGGGTGGTTTTTCCTACATTAACATTGACAACAAGTGGTAAAATGTTGCTTGATCAATTGCTGACGTTACATATTGGCAAAGTCTTTTGTAAATAAGGTCACGTCTCTGTAACTGTAACTCTCTTGAGTTTACGTTTAGAAGTGATTGGTTATCATCAATTATCCTGATGAAGGCGACAGTAGTCTTTGATCCCTGTGTACTCTTTGAGTCTACCCTGTGTGAATTATGCTGACAGACCTATTATCACTGTATTAATCTACCCCAGAAACTAGAATTACCGTAAAAGACTCTATCATATCATCACAAAGGATCTGTTTTACTACTTTTCGGATGTTACAGTTATGCAAACCCAAAGTAACATTACCTGTGGCATCGAGACCCTCCAGAACAATGACAGGGTGCTGACACTTCTCCTGCAGAGATGCTACATCCAAGGTTTCAGGAACAAGAGTTGATGCTGCAGACAGCACTTCTGAAACCCCTTGTATGTCAGGACACTGAAATTATTCAAAAAGATTTTAATGTACCACAATGATGCAAGGAAAACAGTAAGGGGGAAGCAACAGAAAGGTGTAGCCATTTACATATTTTTGCTCTTCCCATCTAACGTTAAAGCATTACAAAATGTAACATGATCATAACAACATGAGAGTATGTATAATGTACTGAGTTTTTATCAATTTTCATTGAGAATTCACAGTTCACAGTAAGATAGTGAAAGCATTAGCACATTTACCTCTTTCAATATATTGACGGCTCTGCTGTAGGAGTGGAACACAGCATTGTTCTCAGGATGGAGGAACGCAGGATGACAGGGCGGCGCCTCAACTGTCACCATCTCATCCTGACTACGTACCCCGTCGTCTGAAGCCCCTACCCTGTTCTGCAGAAGTTTCCCCTCTCTCAAAACGTACTCAAAATACTGAGTCTGCCCGAATTTAACCGCCATTTCTCGGGAAAATCCAGAGATAGACTCGTCCGCGGTAGGGCTGAGAATGAAGAACTGTTTTCGAAAAGACTCTGGTCGTTCAGGGATGAAGGAAAAGCCATGGGAAATCGCGCGCTCCGGGCCAAGGTGGTTGTTTATGTCAAGCAAAAGTTTAGAATTTGCACGTGTATCGTCTACACGGGAATTCTTCGACCTGCACGCGCTTATAGAGTAAAACGCAGCAACATTGGGAAACTCTTTGGGTGTGTTAAAAGATGCTGCATCTTTCTGACGCGTCTGACTCGCTGTAGAAAAATAAATGGGACCACTTTCCGTCTCGATCGCATGCACCAAGTTCTTGCTCTGGTCTTCCACCATTTTGAATTTGGAGCCAAAACGTCGTCTGCAAGTGTGCGGTAGTTTGTACCAAATATTCCGCGGTTTTCTGAGACTGTACCTGACAAGACGTATAGAGAACGCAGCAAGGATCATTCCTTGGTCATGTCGTGCACAGGTGTGCCTTGAGAAAGCTTCGCGGCTTCTAAGAAATCGTTTTACCTGGTGCGGTGCGAAACTGTGCATCTGGACTCCTCCACGGTCAATCACGTGATGAAGACGATACCATTCATATCAAGGTGGGTGGTTGTGCGTAACTGAGTCATAGAAATAACTCAAATCAGAGGGACATATGGCGGTATTGTAATAATTTCCAACTTTTAAAAGCTGTACCGTCGAACGTCGAAAAAGACTTTCGCATGTTCCCACCTAATACCGGTATAAATGCTTTCAAACTTTTTATGTCGCCGGTTTCGTACGGGTATAATGGGCCACTCCTGTCTGAGGCGCCCCCTGTCATAGTTTCGGTGCATTGCAGCTCTTTTTGCGTCATACCATGGTTTAGTTTCGCCCGACGAATGTTTACTTTGGGACGTAAAACAATGTTCAGGATATATCACGTGCACGTGATTCAATAATACACTAGATTTCTCAGTCCCTGTACCTTACTTCAACGAATCAACGTTAGAAGTAGTTATAGGTAATCTTTTTAAGTGATAATTTAGGTCTCTATGTGCTTACTAGATACTACTACTAGTAATAGTATTTTATGGCCATACAATATTGGCATCCATGTCACGTGACTCCAAGCGGGCCCTGTGGTTTCTATAGATAGCGATGACGAACTGGGGAATAACGAAGGTTTCGGTAAACGGTTACGCCGCTTGTTGTGTGACACAAAAGGACACACAGAACTTGTTGCGTCGCACACAGGGGCGGCAAGTCGTCTGACAAGCTCAGTGACGTACAAACGCAGTCAGAAGTCAAACCGTATCGCTAGGTTAGTCCTAAAATGGCGGTTGTGACGTGTACAAACTTCACCCTGCCGCTGGCTGTGATGTTCGTTTTTGGTCTCCTTGCCGTAATCTTCAAGACAGTCAAGCAGTTCACGTGGATGGTATGGGATGCCCTGACGGGGGGATGCAGCGTACCCGCCCCGACAACCGTCCCAGCTCCAGGGTCGGGCCAGGCTCTCCCCGGTACAGTCGTCCCTACCAGCGTGAACTACCACTTCACTCGGCAGTGTAACTACAGGTGCGGGTTCTGCTTCCACACGGCCAAGACGTCTTTCGTCTTGCCTCTTGAGACCGCCAAGAAAGGGCTGACTCTTCTCGCCGAAGCTGGTAAGTACTAGTAACCTGTCGAGCATGTAGGTTACTTTATTCGAGGCGCCCCAAGGATGCCGTATTGTACTTTGACTTTGTGATGCTGCACACCTGTCCCCGTGGCTACGTTTCGTTGTAAGAACAAACTTGCACTGAGAACAGATAGAAGAAAATGCACCAGTAAACACCGATACGCTTACTCGGGTACTTACTATAACATAACATACTGTGCGTCAGCCGTGTATTTTATGGGGCACTTGGCAATTACATATATATGTTGTTTATAGCCCTCAAATGTTTTGAGACTCCAGCTCAACGGAAAATAAACATTGCGATAAAAATGTAGGCTACATTTGGATTGAAATAGACCTACCTATTGGTTTGACGGCAGGTATGGAGAAGGTGAACTTTTCTGGCGGGGAGCCGTTTATCAAGGACCGTGGCCGGTACGTGGGGCAGCTGGTCAGGTTCTGTAAGGAGGAGTTGGGACTGCCCAGCGTCAGTATAGTCAGCAACGGCAGTCTCATCACCGAGGACTGGTTCAACAAGTACGGTAAGGGAACATCGACTTATCAAGTAGAGATCGTACTTGCACATTTAAATCAATACGTAAATAAAACCGTTACGACCTTAAACTGTTGAACATGCAGAAAAGAGTAAATCGTAACGTTTGTTGACATGATGACACGATTCTATTTCAAGTAGCTTCAGACATAGCTTAGGTAAAAGGGCACTCTAGTTCTTTTTTGCCGTCGGAGGGGGGGTATGTTCAGCTGCCGATGATGCATAAGTTTTGTGCGTCGACTGTTTGTATCTATATTAGCCCTCGGCAAATACTGTTTTAATGATCTGTACACAGCTGAATTGAAGTTTGACACGAGTTGATATTTTGAATACAGGTGAATGGCTGGACATCCTCGCCATCTCCTGCGACAGTTTTGACGAGGAGACGAACCGCCGCATCGGGCGTCACCAGACGGGGAAGGACCACCTGCGCTGTCTGCGGCAGGTGCGGGCGTGGTGCCAGCAGTACAGGGTCGCCTTCAAGGTGAGACGGTACAGGCCAACGGGTGCCTCAGTATCACATTGGGAAGACCGAATACATTAAACGTTTCTTGAACATTATCTGCTTTTGAAACAAGTTAACAGAGCAAATCTAAGACCTTTAAATTTGTTGTATATATCTATGTCCCGACGGGCTAAGCAGGGGTCATGGTGACAAAGGTCTAAGTGCAAACAGTGATACAAATCTGATACCTTACTACGTCTATAATCTAGTGGTGTAAAAACAGGTGGGGCTTAAAATTCTCAGCATGCTCACAAAAAAACGCGTACCTTAAATACCACGTTAATTTATAGTGATTTTGTTTTCCAGATAAACTCGGTAGTGAACAGGTACAACGTCGATGAGGACATGAGCAGTGACATCATGGAACTGAACCCCATCAGGTGGAAGGTGAGATTTTCTCTCGCGGTATATTCATGTCTTTTTTAGTTTGCAACAGTTAAATACTCAAGCAACTGGATATAATTTTGGAAACGGTCAGACGTTTCAGGTAGCATCCACTACCTTTCGTCAGTGACACTTTCATGCAGTTGCTTTTGGCATATATTATTACCTTTTGGCGTATATTATTACCTTGGCGTATATTATTACCTTGATGTCTAACCTTCATCGACGTAACGTCATACCTGGCCCGTTTTTTCCGTCCCAGGTGTTCCAGTGCCTGTTGATCGGTGGTGAGAACGCAGGTCCGGAGGCCTTACGTAACGCGGAGGACATGGTCATCACGGACCGGGAGTTCGACCAGTTCGTCAGGCGGCATGAACATGTGACGTGTCTCGTGCCAGAATCCAACGAAAAGGTAGGCAGAAATATATGCCAAAATGCTTTGAACTGGTTCATTTGGCTTTTTTTTTATTATGTTCTTTAACCGTGGATAGTAAAGACCTGCTAGGCTAAGTTTCAAGCAACTTCAATGGTATCCATCGCCCTGCATCTAAATAAGAATGCTACTGAGGACTCCATTGATAGCCCTGAAAACGAGATTTAACTATGTTTTTATGTTCAGTCCCTCTAATGGATTACAATCTTGTGTTTCAGATGAAAGACTCTTACCTCATTCTTGATGAATACGTAAGTGACTGAACAGTTTTACTTTAGTATAATAAGTAACGTAACTGTTTGAAATTGTACTACCCTACTTTATTTTGGTGCTAGGCAAATGTGCATGCAATACTACAAGTCTAACTAAAATTTGCATTTGGGTATTTGATTTCTTACATTACATTGTTTATCTTCGAGCCAGCCAACTGTTGATATGATGATATGTAATAATATGGTAATAACACACTCATAAAGTTTGGAAAGGATTTTGACAGTTACACCCCTCTTCCTTTGGTCTGCTCCAGATGCGGTTCCTGGACTGTCGTGAAGGACGGAAGGAACCATCTCGGTCCCTGCTGGACGTGGGGGTGGAAGGTGCCATCCAGTTCAGCGGCTTCGACGAGAAGATGTTTTTCAAGCGTGGAGGGAAGTACACGTGGAGCAAGGCTGACTTAAAGTTGGACTGGTAAACAGGGAAATTCTGCTGTTTCCTGGTCATGCCCGTTACAACGTTATTGTTCGCACGTTAAAAAAAGTTGAAAGTTATCGGACCGTTTCAATTGCTCGATTTGGTGGTGTACGAGCAATTCTTCAGCAGAACCTTTTATCTTTCTTGAACTTGACTTAATTATCGGACAACAACGACGAGAACAAGATCACAGCCGATGTTAATTCTATTCTCGTGTGTTACGTTTTGTTTGAACTACATATTCATATACATAGGAATCAACTGGAAAGAAATATGCATGTATAGGAAGAGCAGACCACTAAATCTGGACCAATAGACCGAATTAGACTCAACAAAATAGGGCACATTTTTCGTCAGGTCAAAACTGATCCGTCAAGGGCGCCGAGACGCCTATCAAATACTCCACATCGGGATACTCATGTCGTCAGAACCCCCTGGTATGTACCCCTCATTCCGGTCACAGATGTACAGTGACAGGTGCATCGACGAAAAACTCACAAATTGGCAGCTTTTTTGTAACTCAGGTTTTATATATGTGAGTCTAGTGAGTCTGTGACATATTGTGCCATGTGCCAACGGCAGATAAACGTTGATTTACATCATCACCTTTGCCACTCCAAGAAGAATAGTGTGAAATGTATGTAACACTAATGGAGTTCCCAACAAAACAAACACTTCTACATATCAACTGTCTGTAATGTAATAGTGAGTGTGAGTTGAATGTATTAACAGTTTGTTAGCAGTTTTATTCAGAAAAGTAGTCTTATGACTGTAATATGTAGTGTGATTGGAAATTGATTCATCGTTTTCACACTTTACAATGCGATGTTTACTGTTTTCAGGTATGATATGTTTGTTTGAGATTACTCAGTGTATAGATTTTATTACTGTAAATTTGTGATTTGATATAAATAATTTTTCATTCCTTCTACTTGATCGTGATTACCATTGTTCTATGCGCTGATAGATTTCTATTTTGTACAAATTATTTGCCACTTATGATTTTTAAAAACATTACATATCTATCTCTATATATATATATATATATATATAAAGAGGTGTATATGAACAATAGGATGGTAATGGCATTGTGTACGTTTGAATTATGTGGTTTTCAACATTTCAAGAAATACGAGTAAAATGCGTTTGCACAGGCGTGACTCTTTTGTTTCGAGTACGATCTTGCATAATCATTGCAAATATGAGCAATATGCATAGAGCGGAACGGGCGGGCATCTTTTTTGCATATTTTGCTTCCAATTTCATCCGTTTTGAAGGCACAGATAACTTACAATAGTAAATGTATGCATGGCGAGTCAATCTATGACAGCAGATCGTACTGATAGCTGGTTTATCCTGACATTGTTTTGACACATGTCATCTATTTTTAGGACCACGCGGCCAGTGGAAAATCACATCGCAAATTTATGTAATTGCATGCATGTCGACAGATTGCATTTCGGGATTTTTTCAATATCTCAATACCTCTTCAGTGATGAAACAATGAGCGAAAATTAAATATTCACCAGCACAGCAGTGCCAGTATCGTTTAACGACGTCCTGTGGGCGGTTTATTGCTAATCCAGCACTACTACTAGTGAGTCTGTGATATATTGTGCCATGTGAACGGCAGATAAACGTTGATTTACATCATCACCTTTGCCGACTCTAAGAAGAATAGTGTGAAAGTTATGAACACAGATGGAGTTCCCAACAAAACGAAAGAAAACAATCAAACAATTCAATATATCAATGGTTTGTAATGTAATAGTGAGTACCAGTATCGTTTAACGCGGGTTATTGTTAAGCCAGCACTACTACGGCGGTGAACAGAGTCGAAACGCATTGATCAGGCTGGAGCTCCCCGGGCGTATTGATTAGACTGGCGCCGGGTAGCTAGTGACAGGCCACTGCCTCCCCACCCTGTAATCCAGCGCCGTTTGAGCCGGAAAACCGCCACTTCGCTGTGAGTGGGACAGGAGAGGCAGAATCGTCAGGAAAATGACCGTGACCCTGAGAAACAACCGCAGCGACAAGGGACAGGACAATGACGTCAGCAAGACCTCGTTTCTACAGAATGGAATAGTCGCAGGTAATATTTAGGGAGGGGGGGGCATGTGATGGGTCCATTCAATATTACCGGCTACATTACCGCACAGGCAGTACATGTCAACGACCTATAAAAGGGTCAGACCTTTTGCAGATGTGCACAGATGCTAGCTGTGTCATATTCACTTGTTCAGTGTTAAATATCTGCCGTCGTATCATTCATATCCTTTCTTCTCATTCAATGTAAATGAATTCAGCTACAATACATAGAACGAGATGCAGCATCATTCATGGAAACTGATTATTATATATCGTTATATAACGGCGGGCCTCAAACCCATTCGTATGGCATAACCAGGTCACAAACCCACAAGGGTGGCAGGCCTGTAGCAAAATGGCTTGCCGCTTAGCGATCTTTACTAAATGGTTTCTCCGCATATTGGTTATACCGGCACGTATATTGAATTGGAACTGTTCACGTGCAAAAAAAGAAGCCGGCATCGGTGCCATATTTGGTAGACGGGTTTTTATTTTGCATATTGATCGTTATGTCAGCATATATCGGTCTGGGTGCCATGACGACAGAGTTCCCGCAGCGCCATGAATAATGTATATATCTGCACCTGCTCGCCTGTAGAGCTGAGAAGCCGCTGAATGGCAGTTAGTACATATCGACCCACTTGGGACAAAATGGGGTTTCCGTGTCCACTCCGCATTATGGTCATGTGGGAGGTACCGGTAGACACACGTTATAGTAACACTAGCTATGATTTATACGTCATTGATGCATTGAAATCAAACCGTTCTCTAGAGAGCAGGCAAATTATTCGAATTCATAGTGGATTTTATTGCCCATGACCGCATCAACACGTGTGTATGATAGAATATTCTGAATGGAAGCGTGGAGAAAAATTCCCGTCCCTATCCTATAGAAAATTAATAACGATTTTGATGACAAGATCGATTCCTTGCTAATTATAATGGGACGTTAGTTGGCTTCGATACGTACTTTGTCCATCGTTCAACCGGTATAACAGCCTCTCGGCGTAACAGTTAACACAAACCAACCGTGCGGTTCTATTAGCTCGATCGTTACATGGATTATGTCCATAGAGGCCGAATAAACTGCATTATTTATTCATGTCACCATTCATGTTATAGTCAACAAGATATTTGAATTGTTCGCGGCCTATTCATTTTAATTTTACATATCTATCTATTCATCTTCTAATGAAACGTAACTTAATTCCTACCAACTTAATAGTGTTCTTTATTCATGGTAACTCATGCATGCAACTACATGTATTAGATTTATTTCAAATATTATTGATGTACTTGTATTTGAACCCATCTGTAGGTCCAAAGAGATTGTACACGTTAGAAGAAGTGTCAGGAACAAAATACTTCGGACACGACCACATCCTGACAGGCTATCGTACCGGACTCACAACCAAGCAATGTCTGAGAAGGTAAGAAGCATAATGATCAAGAAACAAAATACTTCAAAACATATTTGAAAACAGTATAAATTTTTCTCAGGCTTGACAGAATACATGATATATACCACTACTACCATCTGAAAATGTAGTGGACACCAAATAATATCGTCTTTAATAATTAATTATCAACAATAAATTTATTGATCGATTGCGTTGGCGGCACAGGTAACGTTAGATCATACTTGAAAGGGTGCATTTTCATACTCATATCATTTTCAAAAACATAATTCTTTTGAATATTACGTGCACCACAGAACCGTAGTAGTCGAGAAATAGTGTAAAGTTTGCTACTTTGCTTTCTTGAAGTATGTTTCAGTGGCATAACGAGACGGTCAGCATATGGACCCATGCCGTCGGTTTCGTCTACATCATGTCCATACTCGTCTGGGAAAACTTCGTGACGATACCCCGTTACCATGGCAACTTCTGGGATCACGTGATCGTTAGCGCCCACCTCTTATGTAGCGAGGTAACACTTGAAACTTTGAAAGTTGAATAAAAAATTCGTATCGCCTACATACATTCATGTACATACCTACACGGCAATATGTATGTCCTGTTTCAAAATTTCAAATGATAACATAGATAAACATCGTGTTGTATTTTTAATCAATTTGGATTCTAAAATAAAATGGAAATGGTGCTTTTTTACGTACATGTAGGTGACACTACTGACATCTGCCTGCTGTCACATCTTCGGCGGCCACCGGTCTCCTGAAGTGAGAGGGTTCAGTCTGAGGCTGGACCTGTTCGGTATCTTCATCGGAGTCCACGGCTTCCAGTTTATCATTCTCTACTACGGGATTTGTGACGATGTAGGTTGAAGCAAGCCTTGTGTCCAGTGTATCGCGGTTTGGGTGGGTTCAACTGAGCCATGGATAGGAGTTTTGTGCCTGATAGGATTTTTTTAACGATAGGACTAATCTCGGCTTTGTGACTGCTATCCATTGTAAGTCTTCCTGCACGTCTGCCTTGGGAACCCCAATTTCAGCACCAAGGACATCGCCAGGCGGTGGACAGGAATTAACTTATCCTGTACAAATCTTCTGCCGGGAGCTAGCCATGGCGCCTCTTGAATCGGGCGTATAGCAAACTGTTTTATACATTGCCTTCAACGTATAAGACAGCCGGCAATGCGCCCGATTTAAGACTCGCCATGGCGAACCGAAGCCTAGTTGAGCCGGGGGCCGGGGACTTTCACAGCCCCGAAGAGAGCCCGCCCAAACCGCGATAGACTGGACACCACAAACTTTGTCATTTAATTCTTCTTTCCTTGTAATAGATTGTGACGGGACAATTACTTCCTTATAACTTGGTTGCATGATGATATAAAATGGAAAGATGCTACGGGATGACAAAGTGCGTTGTTGTGGTGGCCTAGTCAGCGCTTACTAGTATTTTTGGTAACAACTGGTCTTAGACCTTGATTTGATGTTGTTCATCGCATGTGATGATGACGTGTCAGTGTTTGTGGTCTATATGAGTTGTGACGTCGCACAATCTGTTGTTTTGTCGTCACGCATGCAGTGGTACTTTTACATGCATCATTTTGTGGCTTGGTCGCTGTTCCTGCTCAACGTGGCCGTCGAGTTCAAGGACGACGAGGTCGGCCAGACACAAGACGCCGCCGTGCTGAAAAGGTTGGTACTGCAGGCTCATGTGTTTTCGTGACGCGCTTTTTTAAATATCAACAGGATTGGTAATATTCATTGACAAATGTTCTTACTTTTTTTACACCACAGACGCATCACGCTAACAGCTTTGCAGTGGGGCTATGGTGCTGTGCCAATATTACATGCCATCTGTAGCAACGGAGGCTTCTGGCATCCTACTGGACAGGTAACACACTTGTTGGCCATTTTCGTCCTTTCGGCCTCACCAAGTGGTTTAGTGGTTTAAGCAAAACAATAAAGAGACGCATAAGGACGACGCAGTTATAACATGCATCCAGATCCATACTCACCTCTATTCTATTCGTATTCTTTCTCTAATGTGTGTCTCGTTCGATTCAACAGTATTTCTGTCAGCGGTTCCTGGGAGTTGTGTTTTACTCCCTGGCCTGTCTGGTGTCATATACATCCCAACTGCCGGAAAGACTGGCTCCAGGTAACTCTAACGTCTCTTTTACCTGCCGTACACAACCATGAACACAGGTACGGACCTAACATGAATAGTTAGCGCATCGAATTTGCGCCCGTCCTGTTGTATAGCCTTCCGCTTCAGTTATTTTTTTCTGTTATTGCATTATCAATTTCGGAAAGAAACTTACCAAAGGTCTTTTATCAACTGCTAAGGATCATATATTTTGCCAGGATACAGTTTAGGGAGTAGTTGGAAAATATCCCGTTCAACCATGAAGAAACTAGTACTGGCTTCTGAGCGCCTGTATGTTGTTTTGTTCCTGTACAGGCTGGTTTGACTATGTAGGCCAGAGTCACCACTGGTGGCACATGATGGTGCTGTGCGGGATCATCAACTTCAACAACTCGGCGCTGGACTTCATACAGCTGCGACAGAAGGTCCCGTGTTCTTAACGTCTGCTGGGACATAGCGGCTTTACCAGACCACGTCAGTCCAATTACATAGTGCACTTAGTTTTATCGCAAAGAAAAGTTCATGGCTAGAAGGAATAAAACTCAAATGTGTGTTCAAAGTTAATCCCCGGTCACATATATCGTACGATGCACCTAGGATGTTTGTTTTTTTCGCGACGATCATGCCGTAATAAATAAGCTATACTCAAAACTACGTATGGCGATATCGTAGCGAACAAAAACAATTCAACATCGTAGGTACATCGCCTATCTTTGGCAATGTGATCATGCTCAAATTAAAACACACCTGTAAAATCAATACTATTTACAATGAAAAGACAGCAATATTTGGTTGGTATATTTATTGAACAGTTTCTTTGGTTCGTAATACATGTGTTTTCGATAAAATGAGCCATGTAATTGGACTAATGTGGTCTATTAAATAACTTAAGATGAACGAAAGTAACCTCCACATCCTATATTATTAATTCATTACGGGTCCTTCTTGACTATAAGACTTCAACGCAAACGTTAAGGCAGAGTGATACACCGCATGTACTGCACGGAATCTAGTACGTTTGTATGCATCCCAAGTAGAAGATGAAGATAAGTATGGCTAACATTACAATAGTATTGTAATTAACCCACTTAGCCCTCTTGGGCTTAAATGAAATAATCTACCTCTGAACGTATTAAGGATTGCAATCTAACAACTAACCATACTGACCTATTATCCTACTTCCTACACCTACAATTTAGTAATCGTAATCTAAAGACGGACCTACTTCTATTACCTCACTTTTTATATCTTTCAATGCATTTTTAAATATTTTTAATGCATTTTAACAACAGGAATAACAATGCATTATGTAGTGTAGTTCTAAAATTGTCATGATTCGGATTTCAATGCAAGAACGCAATAATATGTGACATTTTAATATGATAGATTATGTATATTTATGTCAACTTTGTGATCAAGACAGAAAGGTAGATTTGATTTCGAACTAGGTCCAACTACAGACTTTGACACGACACAACACCATACTATGTACAATGGTGCCTGACACAACATAACACAGCATGACAAAGCACGAATTGTGATGCAAGTGAATAGCAGCCCATTCTATTACATGTACATCGTACATGTTCTACTATACAAAAGTTGACAAGCATGTGATAACTTAATCGAAAGTAGTTTTTTGAAGGACCTGTAATCTCACAATATAATGTATAGTC